CTGGTGCAGAGGCTCAGGATTACCCAGCAGGGTAACAGTTTAGTAAGTGACCAGTTTGCAGTCAGCTTATCCAAACTGTGATGCTACTCCCCCCAGACGACCATAACAATGCACACTTGCTGCACATATTGAAGGATCTCTGGTTCTTTAGGAAACACAGCTTTCTCTTATACAGCCTGTGTGTTGGTCAACTTGTTGTCAGTGTGGACGACAAATACTTGCACATCATCATCTTGTCCCAGGATGAAAATGGGTTGTGCAGCTGTTCTCTTCCTCCTGAGGTTGGCCACCTTCACACTGAAAGGCAGATGACTTCTCCTGAACCAAATTATCCACCAGTGTTCTGCACTTCTCCTCCTGCCCATCACTAACACATCCAACCCCTGCAGGTGGTGTCATGAACACATTGGTACAATTTCTGTGGAAATCATAAAATAGAAATTATTTTGAAATCACTGTGAGGCATAATTATTTGCCTTTTCAGTAACTCATCTCCCTCTCGTGGATGTAGCTGATTTACACACTACACTGCCAAAAGTACTGACACATCCAAATTGTTGAATTCAGGCGTTCCAGTCACTCCCAGGAGCTCAGTGAATTCCAGTGATAGGGTTAGGGTGCAACAAATCCAGTCATGAAATTCCCAATATATTAAATATTCCACAGTCAGCTGTTAGTGGTATTATAACAAAGTGGAAGCGATTTGGAACCATAGCCACGAGTCAAACATTTCAAACACTTGACACTCAGCCATTTTAAAGCTGCCTGGTAACTAAAATGTACAGATAAGAGTAGTGGTCCCAAAACTGAACATTAGGGATTTTAGAAAGATGATCAGGCCATTCATTTTATGCATTGTTCTTGAGATTTCATTTGTGATCCCTCCTGTTATGTTGCGGGTCAGATCGACCCAGAACAGAAGAGATGTGATGTGAGAAAGTTGGCTTTCAACGTTTATGTAGCAACAGCTCATGTTTCACAGTATAAAATGGTTTTCTTCGGTACTGCTCCTTTGACTTTACCACTATCTAGAGATCACTTCATAATTTTTCTAAGATAGCTGCAAGATACTTGTAACAAAACAAATTTCTTTCAAGAAAAACGGTTAATTCTGTAACTGGCTCCCAATAACGTGATAGGTCTTCAATAAATTGCAGGAATAATTAAAATTGATGAATCGATCAATCCATCATCCAGTTATCCTTGTCAGGGTCTCAGGGGAAGCTGGAGCCTATCCCAGCTGTCTTAGGA